CTCTCTCTCTCTCTCTCTCTCTCTCTTTCAGGCCTCCTGTTCATCCGGGATTGCAGTATCAGGTTTTATTTGTTTCGGGATTGCAGCTTCGGGACGAGACGGGCCTCGGTCAAGGGGTGGTGAGCAATTACACCATACATCACTCATTTGTATATATTTATCCTTGTACATATCGGTACATATATATATTGGTAGCGGTAGTAGTAAATTGTTCTTATCTCAACCCACGGGTCTCTTTTCTTTTTCTTTGATTCTCTCCCTCATCCCTGGGGGTGGGGGAGTGAGCGACTGTGTAGGGTTTGGTTGCAGGACCAGCTAACCCACGACACTATGAGGAAGAAATTCTCTGAGGGTGGTGAAACATTGGAACATATTACCCAGTGAAGTTGTGGCTGCTCCATCTCTGGAGGTGTTCAAGGTCAGGTTGGATGGGGGGCTTTGAGCAACCGGATGTAGTAGAAGGTGCCCCTGCCCATGGCAGGCGGGTTGAAACTCGATGATCTTTAAGGCCCCTTCCAACCCAAACTATTCTATGATTCTAAGATATGCTACTGATTAAAAAAGTAGTTATCGTGTTGGATTTACTATTTACATAATCTTTTCTCAAAACTTTGAATTCCTGTAAGTTTTTAGAGGAGTGGCCATCACTCACAGAAGTTTAATAAGGCATGAAATCTGAAAAAAAGCAATTTTTTTTTTTCAAACATTGTATTACCTTTTTTATGACCCAAGAAGTGCAGAAATGGACAGCAAACCAAAGTTTTTCAAAATGATCTCAGAATGCAGCCATTATTCTACTGTTCTGATCAAGAGCAACTCCCAAATCTATGTGCCGCTCAGAAAGTTTCTTTCATTAAAAGAGAAGGAAAATAGGAGGGAGAATTTCAGTGTCATATGCAATTGTAGCAAAACTGCCCTGTTATTACACAAAACAGTACAGAGGAATACAGAATTTGGCCTCACTAGATCAGAAGAGAAGTCCAAGTGAGTTAATGCTCTGTTTTTAGAAACTGCCTGTGCCTTATGCTTTAAAGACTGATGAAGAATTTGGCAGTGTGATACACACAAAAAGAAACATAGACAATACTTTCCAAACCTTGTGGCCATGAGCCTGCACCCTTCAGCATTAAATGTCTATACAAGTACTTAATTTGTCAGGTTGGAATTATGAACTTCACTTGATTGATGATTAGTTACTAAATGATTTATAGCCCACAATACACGGCATTTCCATATTTCTAATAAAATTTTAGATGCATCAAATCAAAGAACTCTTGATATAAATTTAAATTTATAATGGGAATTTGTTTTTTCTTTTTTTTTTTTTTTAAAAAAGGGAAAACTTCATAATTTTAACTTTTTAGGATAGACATCTTCTCTTTTTAGGCAGTTTTCAGGCCTATATCAGGTTTTATATTTTTAGATTACGAAGACTTGTAATTGCAATATAACATGCTAAAGTTTCAAATAAAGGCCTTGTTTCAACCATCTGAATGATATGAATATGGTATCGCCCTGTGATATACCACATCCACAGAGATTATCTATGGTATAGGAAAAACAGCATGGGTGCATAAGTCTTCCAAAACAGCTTAATGAAAACTTTTAGTTTATTAAACATAAAATTGCACCTTTTATTCACTTCTGTAAGTATATGCTTTCAAGTTGAGGAATGGTTCTTCAGTAGACTCTCCTGGCAATATGTCTTTGGAACGGTCTAACAAAAATCTCACTGTGTAAGTCGTTACAAATTTGGGAGAGTTTCAAGAAATAAAAAGCAACAAAAGACCCACATTGACTCGTGTCTCTTATCATTAAAGTCCAATTCAAACCAGCTCTATCTTCACATAAATTATTATTTAATGTAAAATATACTCAAATAAAGAGCAAAGCTTGGAATTATTAAGGCAAGCAACCAGAAACCAAAGAAATTATTACTTACTTGTATGGAGGTTAAGGGGAGTTTGGGGATGTTACAAATATTTAAAAAAAAAAAAAAAATCAAAGGACAGTGATTGCAGATGCTACATTCTCATGTGTCTGCTCTACACTTTTGTAACCTTTAATACAAATCATTGAGCTACATTTGAGCACTAAGAGACAACTATTTGAGAATGCTCACAGTCTACAAAACAAAGGCTGCAGATGCAAGTAGTTTCCTTGTGTCAAGTAAGACAGTCTACAAAAATAGTTTCTTGCAGTTCAGCTTTCCTTACCATGCTTTCATCAATAAATAAAAATCCATCTCCCTCTTATGGCTTAAGAGGCTGAAAGACATCACATAAGCCTTGCATTTTCACAATCTTGAACATATGCTGAGGCACCCTATTAAGGAGATTAGATGCTCTGCACAGGTCTTAGTGTGTGCTTTAAGATGCGGGTTTTGGGGGCAGATTTCCAGTTTTCACTTCCAATTCAGCTAACAGCAATCTTCATGTTATGTTTATTTCACCTTTTTGTTTAGCAGCACCACAGGCCTCCACTAGGTCGTCACTGTTAACATGGTCACAAAGACTTAAACTTGCAAGCAGAGAGCTTGCAAAAGCATCAAACATACAAACAAATATATGAAATATTTCAAAACAAGTACATTAAAATAGTTCAGTTCATAAAACAATGAGTGTTTTATAGGAGTTCCTTCTAGGTAGCATTTCTTCAGAGGCTCACAAATCATCAGTTTACATTCAATCTGAAATAAGCATGAGTACAATAGATAGTTTTAAGGAAATATTCATAATATTGTATTCTAAGTATATAAGTTTCACACGCTGTTTTAAATGGCAGCAGACTTAGCCGTCCATTAGTTTCAAGTTGAAGGAGCAGGTCTAACTTGCTTAAATTTTCCCAAATCAAAGCTCAAAATTAACTGAGCTGATAAACAGATCATGCAGCTTTAAATTTTACTTTATTTTTAAAGTTACTTTATTTAATCATAGAAAATATTATTTTTCAGCTCAGGCACATTTCAATTTAAGAACAGCTTTTGCTTATTAATTTCTCATGCTACCAGGGTATTCCATTTGACATATACACCTAATAGGTCTTAAAGAGATGTAATTCAACTTGTAAAGAGACAATACTCTATTAACTTTGCTGAAATACAAATCTCATTATTATGGGCTGGTGTTTTAAGACTGCCTTCTAAGAAATCTAAAGAATATTTGTTCCAAATGTATTACTGCTAACTGTATCACTTCCAAACTTGACTCACAAAGACATATTGACCTCATGCACCTAACTTTGTAAAGTCAAGACCAAAGATAAATTTGACTCCTTGTTTTATTCTTACTCAAATTACTAAAAAGAACAGTAAAGAATACATTATGATATTCAGTTACTTCCCACAAGAACAAAAAAGTGAAGGCGAGGTGATTAAACAACAAGATTTGAAGTGGAGGACCTAAGGTTTAGAGCATAGATTCAACAAGCTGACAAATTTGTGCAGTCATATCAGATGACACTGCTAGGTATAATCTAAAATATAGTATAGTCTAAATTTTCAACACCAATTCTGATGGCAGAGCATTTGTTGCCTTTCTTTCAGCTAGACGATGTAGGTGCTAATTCCTTTTTTTTTTCAAGACAAAGTCCCCTACAGGATATTCAAGTTGGCCAAATGAAACACTGCACATTCTGAATTACCATTCGCATTTGATAATTTTGCCCAGATTTGGTAGATGAAAATGAGAACAGCTGTTTGTAAACTGGAAGTAATTTTATTTATTCAGATTTAAACACATATGCAAAACCCACTACACCTATCCATGTGTTATAGGCATTCTGAATACTCAAAAATTCAGCACAATCAAGGCCCAGAAATAGCTAAAGTGTAGCTGTATAATAAAACAACTATCCAAACAACTATGGAAACTGAGCACCTCAGGAAAAATTAAAGGCTTTCCAAAGGATTTCCAAATTCCAAAGGGAAAGATTATTTTTTTCCAGTGCCAGAAGCATACCATACAAAGAATACAGAGTTAATCTATTTGAGACATGGCAGGAGAAAACCATATTCAAAAGTCCTAATATCCTGAAGAACAACGTATTTCTAAGCTTTATTCTCATACTGTTATACTAGATTGGGGTAACAGTTCAAACATGCCTTTTGATCTTACCTGTGCTGCTGTAAAACAAGCAACTTTTTAGGCAGATACATAATCAGTAATTGGTGTACAAGCCAATACTAATACGCTAAGGCATCCCCCACAAACAGACAGTACAGTTCAAGGAACTCAAGGTAAGTATTAACATACTGTCATAATTCAATGCACAGATACTGCACTATTGTCATCTTCTGAATGTCTTTCATGCATAGCCCTATATGTTCTTACTTGTAGTAACAAACACATTGGAGCCTTCATCTGACAGTCTTGTCATTTTAATTATGGAGTTGAAAAAAAACCCAGTTGCTGCACAAAGGATGGATGCATTTTTTTTTAACAACTGGTTACATTAATGTTTTCAATCATTCTGATCAATGTTTTTGAATTGCCCCAGTATCTGGTGAAATTCAAAAGAAGAAAGATTGCTACAAAATTCTAGACATTTTAGGAAGGAGCTCATTATTTTCAGATCTGCCAGACTTCATTATTTACATCGTTGCTACTCTACTCTCTATGTCATTTAATTATATTTTTTATCCCCATAGTCTTGCCCGAAAGAAGACGTGTAGCATTTTCATTGTCCTCTGATTTGATAACTCACAGATACCCTTTGAATTCAGACTATTTTTTCATTCATTTACCACTATAATGATCATAAAAAATTTTTGTAAATAAAAGTGAAGTTATTGTGCTAATGTGTATTTTAGTTGTTTGCAGGCTAAATGAGTGAACTACATTTACTGTCAACTTATTTTATCATAAATGAAATCTATTACAACAATAATGGAAATATCATACACCTTTTAACATTTTACTTGAGCTATTTTCTGCCTGCTAGGAATTCTAGTTATGAGCTTCATCGTGTCAAGGATAGACCAGTCTTTTCCAGACACTTACCCTCTGACAGCATGAATAAGTCTCAGTGACGGATAGGCGGTTCGCACTTTCAATTTATTCTTAAGGATTAATGCATTAACCCATTCCACATGCTTCTCTCCACCTTTCACCATGAAAGCAGGGATCCAAAGGACACTGTCATTCAGCATCGATAGTCTATGCACAAATTTTTCTCTGTCACTCTCATTCCGAAATCCTCCAAATGCTCTTTGTACAACTGATGGGTTCATGGTAATAAAATCAGATTTAGTTCCCACATCGGCAGCAAACTCCACCACAGGAGCTAGATTGCACCTGAAGAGGAAAAAATTAATGGAAAAATGAAAATAAATATGAAACCTCAGAAAAATGTATGCATGAAAAGAAAGCTGAAAATGAACATGCAAGTCCATTTCAATTTAATGTAAGAAAAAAATACTAGTGATAACAGGTATGATAACATGTAGCATTTTTCTCAACTTGGACACTCATTAGACAAATTTCTTAAGAACATTAAATGTGCATAATGCTGCAAGACAAAAAAGTTCTTTGCACGTTTGAAAACCATGCCATCGCGCTCTGAAATGCACTGAGAGCTAGAGTAGCACACAAATAAGAGTATGCTTTCTAACACTGCCTTCCATTAGTGTTCATTTGTCACTATGTTACCAACAGCTCACACTTTTAAAGGAAGCCATGCCAGCCAATTAAGGTATAATTTATATAGGTTAGTTATTGTAATTTTTTTTTTTTTTTACAATATAGTATTTAAATATGATTTACAAATGAACTTTACCCCATGTTACATGAGGTGTTTGGGTTTTTTTGGTTCTGATATTATCACTGCAGCTGATCAGATGTTTTAGAATTTGGTACTTTCAATTCATTTAGAAATTAAATTTTTGGAAAAAACTATTAATATTTCCATTTTTCCTTGAGGTCTCATTTTCAAGCCTTGTTTAATTCTGCAGTGGCTTTGTGCTTTTTTCTAGGCTTCAGAAGGTCTCATCAGGCCTTTGTTCAACATACATTTTTATCTTAGTTATATAAATACATATATAGGTAATCACACAGAGCCAGCATTCTCCATGTGCAGCATTGGATACAGGTGACAAAATGCAATTCAGAAATTAATTGCAATTTCAGTGACCAGTATGATCCAACTGAAACAAATCACCTCCACAATATCCTTAGTAAATGAGCCTGTAGCTGGTACGCCTCAAATAAATATCTTGACACAACAATATTTCACAATTTAACAAATTGCTCTGGTGAGGTGAAGAAAGCTAAGAAACAATGTTGGAACTAGATCCTTCAAAACATTTGCATGTTATTATATTCCTAATATAAATAGTATTCTATTAGTTCCGCAATTCTTTTCTGGTACAGTAAACTTTTTACTTGAGCTTATCCCCTAGCACCTTATCCCCTAATGGCCAGATCTTCAATGTTATGTAACAATAACTGAAGTCAGCAGGGCAATATTGATTAGCATCAACTGATGACCTAGTCCTGATTGATAATACTAATTCCTTTGAATACTGTTATCATTTTTCAAATATCATCTGAAGAAGTAGTCCTATATTCTTCAGAAAGTAACGTTATGAAGACAGTAAAGTCTATATATTCTTAGCACATAAAGCTGTCCAGGTTTCTGACGAGGTGGGCAGAGGTAAGTTTTCTTAGGAAATGGATTTACGTTCTTTAATATCTTTATACACCTATTCCACAAACCATCTGCATGTATTACAGGCTGCTAAGAGTAGTATCTTCTAGAAAATGGTAGTTAGGGTTCAAAAATATTGCCACTGATTTCAATACTGGCTTTGACATTGTTTCTAAAAACCTTAATGCATGAACCTATAACCTGGAATTGTCAAAAATTTGGTGTTGCATACAATCTAAAAATAAAAAAATCAAACCAAAGGTTTAAAATCAACCAATTGAATTCACTGAATTACCACTGCTTTTGAAAATATCTCTTTTAAGGGCAGACTGCACAACATAATGAACGATTCTTGCATAGCAGGACTTTTTTCAGTAGTCACATGTATAGGCACATGATGACATCTATTACTTACAAACATAGCACAGAACTTGACATTGCAAATCTAGCCCTCTGTGTCTGTCTTTGAGAAGCACCTAGGTACCAACACTACCTTGTTTAAAAAGCTGGACGCCATATGCAAAGTGTGCACATATAATATAGGCCTTACAGTTCTAATATGATTTCATGTGACAGCTCCTTTCTGATCTGCCAACACCATCAGTGCCTAAATCTTAAAAACGTATGCAGTTTGAAACAAGTATATAAATGTAATTTCACCTAGATCCTGAAAAAAATTATCATTGGCATACCAAATACAAGGTCTACCTACCTTGCATGTGATTACTGATTCATCAGTAGTATACTCAATATCAATACCGTAATTTAGAAAGATATACAGCATAAGCAGTACAAATTCTTAACATATGACATATTGAGATTTTCCAAGTATAACTGCAGAAAGTAATGAGCAATTCAAATACACTCAGTAACAATGAGGTTGTCTGTGAACAATTACTTAGAATATTAGTCATATTTTTCAAGCTTTAGTGTCTCAAATTAGATAGCTGGTTATAACATTAGAGGCAGGTAAGGCATTTTGCTTTCCAAATGCTGAGCACCTCTTAACCTTTGATCTTTTAAAAATTCCATTTTATAAATGTGGATTAGCAGCAGTGCTTAAGTTTGAGATGATTGATAAGTACATAGAATCATAGAATGGCATAGGCTGGAAGGCACCTTAGAGATCATCTAATCCAACCTCCCTGTCATGGGCAGGGACGCCTCTCAACTAGATCAGGCTTCTCAAGGCTCTGTCCAACTTGGCCTTGGACACCTCCAGGGAGGGGACATCCACAACTTCTCTGGGCAATTTATTCCAAAGTCTTACCACCCTTGTACTGAAGAATTTCTTCCTAAAATCTAATCTAAATCTGTTCTCCTTCAACTTAAACCCCTTTCCCCTTGTCCTATCAGTGGACACTCTTGTAAGTTCCTCCCCAGCCTTCATGTAGGTTCCCTTCAGGTATTGGAAGGCAGCTATTAGGCCCCCCTGAAGTCTTCTCTTTTCAAGGCTGAACAATCCCAGCTCCTGTCCTCGTAGCAGAGGTGCTCCAGCCCCTGAATCATCTTTGTGGCCCTCCTCTGAACACGCTCCAACAGATCTATGTCTCTCTTATGGTGGGGACACCAGAACTGCACACAGTATTTGAGGTGGGGTCTCACAAGAGCAGAGTAAAGGGGGAGAATCACCTCTGCACATCTGCACTTCAAAAGGCTGTTTTCAAAGAAGTAACTAGATGCTATCAGCAGTACACTGCTAAGATTCATATTTTAGTACAACATGAATGTAAGACAAGCTCTACACAAACTTCTAGCTCTGCTAAGGAAATAAACAGTACTGAGTTAGTTGTTGTCAACCAAGTTATAAAAATATTACCATCATTAAGCCACTTCTCATTTTCTGAGAGGTCACTTCCTTCAAAGGATGATTCTACTGCTCATTAAATGGAAGTGTCAATATTGAATATTTATTCTATATTTATCCAGAAAGTTGGAAAATATAAAACACCTGTTAAAACCCATCAACTAAAATCAGCACGTTCTTCAGTAGAAAGTAAATGGAGTAGTTTTGTCAGAAGTGTTTCCATACGAGTTCAAGAGGTTATGTGAAAGTGATGAACTGTACCCTAAACTGCTAGTATCAGATAATTTATATTCCCACATGAGCTCAAGAAAATTTTACAGAAAAGTATGTTTCAGGGCTAATAAAACTAGCTATTGTATATTTGCATATAGACCTGAGCATATGTAAATAACTTTTGTTGTATATTTCAGAGCTTTTATCTTAATGCCTAATGCTTCTTTATGCTATGCCACAGTTTCACACATGTTGAAATTTTTAAGTTTATTTTGCTGGCAGATGTCAATGATATCCTGTGAATTCTCAGGACTCTTTCAAGAAAACTCCATATTCAGAGACATGCATAAACATATATTTCTTTTAAGTCAAACTAAGAAGGCTGTTAACTGAACAACTTTGAAACAGGCAATGCAATAATGTTCCCTTGTTATAATCTTTAATTCTAGCTCATTTGTTGCAAGGCATAGAACACAAAATATATCCACGACAATGATGATGAGGTGAGGGAGACTCTGCACCACAAGCTTTAACTAAGCCTAAGAATTTGAACAAATAAAACTTTACTTTTTTTTTTTTAATGTAAAGTTGTTGCTATAACAAATCCAGCAGGAAGAATAAATAGAAGACTGTAATTTACTGAGTTTTCTTTTTCTAAAGTGCTTCATTACTGATACCTTGCAACTATATGGTTGATGAAAATTTGACACTAAACCACAATTTTCTGCAAAACACCATTATCTTCCATTCATTCTAAAAAAACTTCAATATTGCCCTCATGTTAGTCAGCCTGCAAGTAAGCAGGACAAACTTGCTATGAGGCTAAGAACACTAAGACTAATGAGAACAGATTGGAATTAACAGTCATACACAGCACTGAAGATTGACTTGAGCAATTAAGCAAACAGTTGTGAATATGAGCACTAAGAAAATACATCACATTATACAAGGATCCATAAACTACCTTCTCCTGTGCCCAAGCTATAGACTGTTTCCAGATAAAATGATGAAATACAGCCTGCCCCAGCAAAAACAATTTTGCAAAATGATGGCTTTCAGTAGCTCATTTGCTTTCTTTTTCTTTTCCATAAAAATTCGAAGAAAAGTAAGTGTATTACTTAAAACTAGCAAAGCAATGACTATTTTTCCTATATAATTTTCATACAATCATAGAATAGTTAGGGTTGGGAGGGACCTTAAAGTCATCAAGTTCCAACCCCGTCACCATTGGCAGGGACACCTTCTACTACATCCGGTTGCTCAAAGCCCCATCCAACCTGACCTTGAACACCTTCGGAGATGGGGCAGCCAGAACTTCGCTGGGTAACATGTTCCAGTGTTTCACCACCCTCAGAGTAAAGAATTTCTTCCTTATAGTTAATCCAAATCAACCATCTTTCAGTTTAAAGCCATTGCCCTATGTCTTATCACTACATGTCCTTGTAAAAAGGCCCTCTTCAGCTTTCTTGTAGGCCCCCTTTAAGAACTGGAAGGCTGCTAGAACCAGCAGGAGCCTTCTCTTCTCCAGGCTGAATAACGCCAACTCTCTCAGCCTGTCTTCAGAGAAGAGGTGCCCCAGCCCTTGGATCATCTTTGTGGCCCTCCTCTGGACCCGCTCCAACAGCTCCATGTCC